ATGAAACATGATTGCACTGATGGCACTAAGAAACGTTGGAGTCGGTTGTTTGAAATAGCAAAACACCGTTTTCAAATAGCAAAACTCCCTTTTCAAATAGCAAAACACCCTTTTCAAATAGCAAAACCCCTTTTCAAATAGCAAAACTCCCTTTTCAAATAGCAAAACACCCTTTTCAAATAGCAAAACTCCCTTTTCAAATAACAAAATTCCGTTTTCAAATAGCAAAACTCCGTTTTCAAATAGCAAAACTTTCTTTTCAAATAGCAAAACTCCCTTTTCAAATAGCAGAACACTCTTTTCAAATAGCAAAACTCCCTTTTCAAATAGCAAAACACCCTTTTCAAATAACAAAACTCCGTTTTCAAATAGCAAAACTTTCTTTTCAAATAGCAAAACTCCCTTTTCAAATAGCAAAACTCGGTTTTCAAATAGCAAAACTTTCTTTTCAAATAACAAAACTCCGTTTTCAAATAGCAAAACTTTCTTTTCAAATAGCAAAACTCCCTTTTCAAATAGCAAAACTTTCTTTTCAAATAGCAAAACACCCTTTTCAAATAACAAAACTCCGTTTTCAAATAGCAAAACTTTCTTTTCAAATAGCAAAGCTCCCTTTTCAAATAGCAAAACACCCTTTTCAAATAACAAAACTCCCTTTTCAAATAGCAAAACTTTCTTTTCAAATAGCAAAATTCCCTTTTCAAAAGCAAAACTCCGTTTGCTATCTCGTAGTCTGAACATACTTTTCAGAAACCTGTACTTTATGAACTTTATTTTTAAAGAGCTTAGACTAAGTACACATTGAGTATTGAGTTTGTTCTAGCGCAAGTACGCGGCAACAACCATTGGCATTGGCGTACGCCTAAAAATCTTGAATTATCACACCCTGCTGAAGTTCAGTAACTTTTGCTTATATTGCTGTATAAATATGGCGTCAATTCTACAGCATCAATGATAATTGTATTTTAATTAGCAATATTTAACTATTATTTTGTGTTTCTCAACCGCCAGATACATTTAATAAAAAGGTTGCTAACTGTGTGAACTACAACAGGGTTCGTATAGCGGTCTTTGAAATCCTTGAAAGTCTTTAAATTTGAATGCAGGTCTGTAAGGTCGTTGAAAAGTCTTTGAAAAGTCTTTGAAGTGTGTGAAAAAGCGAAGAAAGTCTTTAAAAGTCTTTAAATTCTTTAGTGAGTATTTGATTATACGATTTCCTAGCTAATAAAATAGATTGATTGAAGCAAGATTTTCGCAAATATCGACGAAAAAGTGCATTTTATAGGATGTGATTTGACGGGACTAATTACCGGGTAAAAATGGTGCTTATACATCGCAATTTTTCGACACCTGATTGCTCTCAAAGGTCTTTGAAAAGTCTTTGACAATATAGGCAGAAAAAATCTTTGAAAGTCTTTGAAATTTTTTGGTCTTGGAGACTACGAACCCTGTACAAAATAAAGCTAAAACAAAGTAATTTTGAGAGGAACGCGCAAAGACTTTAGGTTTTGAACACTTCTCATCACAAATATGCGACATTGAAAAACATTGCCTCTTAATACTTATTAAAATCTCCCCAGATTAAAAGAACTGAAAGAGAAGCCATATGACCACAAAGAGGCGGAGACAGCGGGCGGTCAGGGGTCTTACACAGTTACGACAACTAAACCTTTACTGGAAGAAACGAATATGGAAACGATACAGGATGGATAGAATTATTATTTGCTATACAGGAAGGTAGGATGAAATGAAGAATGTTTAGGCTAAAAATAACATACCTGACCTTCCTAGAATTTAATGTTTGCAATACAGGGTGTATAAAAAAAAGGTAATCGAACTTCAGCGCGCTATTATATACGTGAATTACTTGGCGTATGAACAATTGGTTTTCATATTCGGAAAGATCAGGCTTTTAGCTATTGAATGACACGCTTTTCATGCCAAGTGGAGAAAAAATAAGCATGTACGAGGCCGATCAAAAATGTTGGTCAAAATCGCATATTTTCACCTGTGTGCCTAATTAAAACAATGCATAACAAAAGAAAAAGCAATTAATCACGAACGTGTCGTAGCTTAGCTAAAATTTATTCATATTTAATAATAATTATGAATATGTGTGCAGTTTAATGAAGTGAAATTCATCAACTTAAGTCCTAAAGGGGGTTCATTTTCAATGGTTTTAGACCCAACTCTCAACGGTGAAAATATGCGATTCTGACTAACATTTTTTATCGGATTCGTATTTGCTCATTTTTTATCCATTTGACATGAAGGAGATATCACTCAACAGCTAAAAGCATGATCTTTCCGAATGTGAAAAAATCTCGTTCATACGCAGAGTAATTCAGATACAATAGCGCGCTGAAGTTCGATTACCTTTTTTTTATACACCCTGTATAATAAAGCGTTTTATATTGTGGAATTGAAATATAGTATTCGTGACCATGTAAAATCTCTGATTACCAGTAACAGGCTAGTAACAGGCAGACTAGGCAGTAGAGAATCTTCTGTAATGATGTGTAGATATGTAAAAATATTTGACATAAAATTGACTAAAATAAAACAGCACCAGGAAAGGAATTGAATGTGTTTAAACTGACACAGCATATACAATATACAACCAATATATTTATTATTGCAAAGCTTTCAATGTGTAAGATCGTCATCAGTGCTATTAATATATGAATTGTATTCGTTCACTCAATTTGCTATTCAGCAGCACCCTAAAAAACTGCTTGACCATACATTTTCTGCTTTGCGAATAGCATAGATTTATATCTATGGCGAATAGCGATTAGCGGAACTTCTACTGTTAGCGCATGTCGATTTCTTGAAACGATTTAATTGATTTGTGAGCTCACGAGAAAATACTCAGAATGCTTTAGTTAAATATCATGGTTAAATATGTAAACATGTTGAGGTTGTTATACAGCCATATTTTCAAATATACTGTACTTTAACAAGCAAATTCACTGTACTGTGTTACAGCAACTGTCCAGTCACGCATACGTGATAAAAAGTCGATATAAACTTTATAAACAAAAGATAATGTAAAACGTAACAGAACGGCAAACATGCAGATTCGGCCATCTCAAATAATGGTAATGTTGGGATAGTAGCGTTGCAGACTGCAGAGGAGAGTGGGCAGTAAGGCTCCCTCATGCACCACCCCATGGAAAACCTGCACCCCTCCTTGCAGATGAGGTCAGCTTTTGTGTCAACTTTTCGAATGAACGCGCGAGTTGATGCCTGCACGAATTGATTGGTGCTTGTACCGAAAACCACAATACCTGTTTGTTTTTTTAAACAACTGGCAAATGTTATTGTTTGTTGCTAACAATATAGTAATACCGGTATTTTGCTGCTGAACATGAGAGAAGCCATTATTAGTTAGTTCTTGAATTAAACAGCAGCAAAATTTGATTATATTAACTATCTAAGGTTTCTTTGAAGAAATTTATGAAACTCCTTGACGGCGTATTCATTGATGCTGAAATCTATTTGCGTTTATTCTGGTATATATTGTTAAATCGTATTGCTTGTCGCTTCGAAACTTTCCTCGGGAATATGGTGGTGTCTTAATGTTTGGTTTAATGTGGAATAATGGACACAAAAACATCAAGACTGTTACGAGAAATGGTTGTGTACGACAAGGAGAATTGTAGAAGTAATCATTTGTAATTTCAATAGTTACTTTATCGAGAATTGGTGATATATTCCTGCCGAAAAGGTTTAACATGACAGGACAAGTCCCAAGTTATCTTGTACGTAATTTGATCGAAGTTGCACTGAGCAGAACCGACCCAAAGCCGGCTAAAAAGACTCGCTCTAACAAGACACTATGCTTGGCAATTCCAAGTAAAAGTTTTAAGAAACAAGACAACAGTTTGGAGGACGTCAAAGCACTTCTAAAGCTACACAGACGTTTTGAAAACGATGCAGAACGGTCGTTATATAATGGAATGACTAAAACGGAACGGGAGAGGGTAGAAGGTTTCAACTCGGGTGCATCAAATTGTAGTGTTTTGCACAAAAACGGCGGAGCTAAACAGGGTTATTTAAAGGAAATTCATTCAAAATTGTCGCTGCCTTCTTCCCCAGAGCTGCCAGCTTTGCCCAGCACTGAAAATTCACCAAAACAACTCAAATATTATCCCAAGAAAAACTTAAATTTTTTTGAAGAAACTCGTAAAAAGGATAAGGGTGTTTTGCCAGCTTTAGCCGATAAACCGTTTCATTCTGGGCAAAATTTGCCGAGCAATGAACAATTTTTACAAGAGAATTTAAAGCTAAAAGATTTCGAAAATTTAGATGAAAAAAGTTTTGATAATTTTAATCTTCACGAAGATTTGACTATAATTCCTTTGAACAAGAAGAATTTCGCGTCTTACGATTCGTTGACGACGCTTTTCGGCGTTCGACCGAAACGGAGTTCTCGGAGTGATGTCGGAAAATCACGGAATACGAAACCGCCTTTGGGAATCTTCATTCCAATTTCGGAAACCAGATCTGAGGACGGGTTATTTGTGGATTTTGATGAGTATTTGAAGGATATGGCAGACGGGAGGAGCCAGGCATCTTTGATAGAAGACGGGGGCAGTGAACATTGTGAATCAGAAGGGGGCGGGGAGCTTACTGAACAGTCATTGGCTTTGGTCGAGTATAGACCGATGTACAAAAAGAATGTGCATTTCAGTGAGGTCTTACATGAAGTACATTTGTATTCACCCGTGCAGAATCACCGGCGGCGCAGACGGCGGAGATCACATCATACGGAGGATGATATAGAAGAACCCCGATAGCTTCAACTAAATCCAATTTCCCAGCTGGATTTGACCCAAAGTTTACTTCGTTTCCCTTGGTCAAATTCACCCGGGTACTTCCAACTGTATTGTTGAAACGTGGAGCACTTTCTATTTAACGGCCAGATCGGTTAGACCACAATTTACTTCTTGGTATTAATGGAAAGAACTGGCCTTCTCGAAAATCTTGCGAAAATGGACCTCCTTCAAATTTGATCCAAATTTTCCGGTCAGAAAGGTTTTCTGTTCCATTGAAGAATTTGACCGTTCTGACCGAGTTGATAGAGACCTTACGATTTTAGGACAGCAACGCGACGGCAACGGCTACCAATACAATAGATCATTGAAAAGAAATTAGTAATTACAATATATGAATAATTTGTCCTCGCTCTGTTTACAACGCCAAATCACAGATTTTCACGTCTTGATATAACGGCTGCATTCCAAACCACAACAAGTGCAACTTTAAACAATACAATACAATACAATACAATTTTATTCAGTACCGGTAGTAATACATACATAAATATAAAATAAAGATAAAGTTACGAAAAGAAGGTATTAGCTAACTGTAATAACCAAGAGGCTAATCGAGACAGTCAGCGAATTTGATTAGTAACAAAATATATTTTAGTGGGTAAACTGAATAAATAAAACACATGCAATAAAGATTTCAAAATGGACAATTTTGATGCTATAAGCTAATATGAATTCAATATATTATTTTTAAGTTTGTGTTTAAACTGTGATTTAGAAAGACCCTTAAAATTTTCGTCAATTGAATTCCACACATTACTGCCAACAAAACGTATATTAAATTTTCCATAGTTGGTTCTTACTTTTGGAAGGGAGTATGACGATCTCGAAGCAAGTCTGGTGTTATAGTTATGTTTTTGGCTTACTAATGCAAAATACTCATCAAATACGTGAGGAAGTCGACCTGTATGAAAGTCGTACATAAATAGTGCATTATGATAAAAAATAAGGTCATGAAACTTGAGAAAACGAAGTTGAATGAAGAGAGGGTTAGTATGATCCTGATAGTTAGAAAATGTTATTAAACGAATAATCTTTTTTTGTAGGATAGCTAATGGATTCACTGTTGTTACTGGGTTTAGCTGAACTCTTCCCAAACATAAAACCCATGTCTTCAAAAAACTGTATTAAATTCATACAATTGATAATATACGACGAACTATCTTTACTACCATTTATTTGAAGGAGTTTGTTTTGACCGTCGCGTTACCGTCCTAAAATCGTAAGGTCTCTAATGGAAAGCGCCCTTGGATCAGCAAACCTCAAATTGACAAGTCTTCTGTTCAGACAAACGCATAACCTTGCTTAAAGTGTATATAAAATATATACAAACGTAATACAACTCCAATAAAGAGATAAAAGTTTCAACAAGTTGCATCGAACTTATAGGTAGTGTTGGTAGGTACTGCATGTACAACTGTTAAACACTGTGATAGAGGCTGTTTAACTTAGGTAACGCAGCAGTACAGACTTTGTAAGTTCTTTATAGAATGCATCGTATTATGGCTCACAATGGACCTATTTCCTAATGAACAAAATTTTGATCTAGACAAGTCTAGACAAAAGTTCATCACAGCTTGAAAGAGCATCACAAAATTAGTAATATTCCGAAGTTTCGTTGCGAGATGTTGTAAAATGCGGATAATATAGCCATGCGAAGTTTGCCGTTTTTCAGTCATTTTGTAATATTACGCACGGGAAATTGGTACCGCTTTCTGAAAAAAGGTTCATTAGGTAATAGGTCCATTGTGATGAATAATAGAACGCATTATAACGTTGCTTGCCTAAGAACCTTTGAAATGATATTGTAACTTATTTTGAAGATTTTCGTTTGCACACTTTGTCTCTGAGTTATTTCAGTTTTATTGATATGCAAATGTCCGGAATTTACGTCACATATGAATAATGACTGATCAAAGAATGTAAGGTACAGTTAAATATCATGAAATAAAAAGGCTAAATCGCTGCCCTCGGGAGCTCGAGTTTGAAAATGGAAAATTCCTCGCGAAACAGTGTCAAAATTGAACGGGAATTATGTATAGACTTGAAGACTAGCAAAGCGACAAGAGTAATTATACCCTTTACAATGAGACCAATTAACAAACAATCGATGGTCCCCTTCGCTTAATCCATTAAT